AAATAGAGATTTTGTCAGCAAGAGAAGGCTTATTATTCACCTTCTTATACTTTTCTATTCTCTCTTAAAGTGTTTACTGTTTTTTATGATTTTCCTGAGAAATTTTGCCTATCTCAGTTTGATTTTGAATTTCTGATAGCACAATATCACTAGGCTTTTAATTGGTTGATATGAAACATGTTAGTAACTAAATGTAAACAAGCCTCTACTGATTACCTCAAGTATTCCAATAACATCATTGATAATTGAAAGAATTGATTAGTATCTTATGTCTACTCATTTTTCCAATTGGATTAATCTACAGATCAAGTTCCATGAGGTCAATAAGATATGAGAACAAGTTTCCAGGTAATGAAAAAGCTACTATTTATTCAAAGTAGAATCTTTCTCTTCTATTATCCTGATAAGATAAAGTTCAATACCAAGATCTTCTTTTTATTTTGATTAAGCAATAAGATCAAATAGTCTCTAGTATATACTGAGTTTCAATCCTTTGGTTATAGTTGAAAATATATTTTTTCAGAAGTTGTTACAATTGACAAGGATCCCTATTGCTTTTGAGACTCTCCTATCATTACAAGGTAAAAGAATTATTGAGGAACCTGGACTATTGAGTAATAGAAGATATATATCAGTAAAATTTTTTTAATTAAACATGGCTACTGGAAGGTATTATACTGAAACAACATGATTCAGTTTCTACTAGGTTATATAAGAACCTGGGATTTATAAGTTACCTTCTGATCACAGGTGGATAAAAAATCCTTGATTAAAGTAAATTGGGATCAAGTATATCTTGGAAGTAAAGGCTTTTACTAAACAATAAGTCTCTTCAGATGGTATACAAGAAGAAAATCAAGATAAAAAATGAATAAGTTCCTTAGACAGTCAAAAAAAGAAAGGATATTTCAATTGAGTATTTCTTATTAAGAAGAAATCTTGAGAAGCAGATTTTTGAAGAAAGTTGAAAATATATATTTTTTTTCAATTTTTACTTTTTCATTTTCTTGTTGCCTGTTTAAACATTTTTAGATATTCCCTTCCTTTTTTTTCAATTTATCCTTTTGTAATTTCCTGTAATCTAGGAGTTTGGTATGATATATAATAGTAACAATCTGCTAGCAATGATACAGTAAACTAAAAAGATTTTTATTCAAAGATACTATGAAACAAAATATTATTTCCAAGATCAAATTTAGAGACTTTTATGCTCATAATAGATTAATTAGATTAAAATTAATAGTTTAGCTATAATATGTATCATACTGCTCAAATAAAAATATACTTATGTTTTCAATTAATTAATTAACTAATAATCTATCCTGACTATGGGTACTCAAAAAAAAATAATAATAATTTAATATAAAATTAAATCAATATATAGTAATTTTAAAGTCTTAATGTTAAGTTATCAAAAAAAAAAATTTTTTTTTAATTTAATTACTAATTGTTAAAAAATTTAGATTTTTAATTTCAAGTATATATAATATATAAAATTAAAATATAAGATAGAATCCATAGTATAGTTAATTTTTTTTTTGAAATGGTGACTCAGCCTTGTTTTATTAAACTTTCAAGTCAGGGCAAAATTGCAAATACAAGAAATAACCACTAATAAAACATTCCTAGAGTTGTCTACAAATAGTTAAAATTTTATGCTATTACCGTAGATCACTGCATACAATATCCTGGATATTAATCAATTTACCCCACAATAAATTGATTAGTACCCGAGGGGGTATTCTACTAGAAGAGGGGTAGTATAAATGGCGGGATATTTAATATCTTATTATCATCTGACATATCTCTCTAACTTAATATACCTGGGTAATAATCATTTATTGAGTAACAATTTTCTTGAATACTATTGGGTATTATTTAAGGAGAGGTATTACTTTAGGGGAGGTATTGTATGCAGTGGTTTATGGTACTACCACTTTGATTCCATAAGCTGATTACTCTTCGAGGGCTTCATCAGTCAAGGGCATATTGCCTGTTCCTCAGCTGCTTTCAATATCTTCATATTGTAAAATTCTAACCACTTCAACCCATGGGATAGCTTGTTGTCGGGAAGAATAATTTGGATCAATCTAATTCACGCACTGGAAAAGAAGATTTATCGATCCTCCTAAATTCCCCCTGACACACGTGCTCAGGCGAGATAAGATGTCCCAAAAAAAAATTTTGAAAGAGGTAATTATGTTCGAAGGATATGTCAGTATACAATGAGAGAATAAGAGTATCAAAACCCTCCAAAAAGATACTGTCCCAGGTGTTGTTGTGTTTGTTGGAGAGGAGAAGGAGGGAGAGGTCTTTATTGGCTATCTGATGAATTCTGTTCCAACAGTTTTCTTTCTAAGATACCACTGATTTAGGAGTTTTGCTTGTCCTGTATCCACCCATACCCATAGATGTGACTTATGATAGATCCCAAGTTCTTATGGAGCTGAGAAAATATATTTAGACACGTGATATGACCAATGGGAGCTTGTTTATTTCTTTTACTGATATGATCTCTATCTGTCCAATCACGATGTGTGAAACTTTGTACTACTTAAAATTCAGGGTCAAACTGAGGTAAGCAAAATTTTCCAGAAAAAATCAAGAACGAGCACTATAAGAAGGAACCAGTTGGCGAGAAAGTAGAAAAGGTGTCTCTTATCTACAACAACCTTCTGTGTTGTTTCTCTTCAGTGTGAGATAACTGCACATTAGTTCTTCTTTCTTTCAGAACTTTCTTGCCCTTGATAGGAAAGGTGTTCCTTGACTTTCAGATCACTAGCAGTCAAGTTTTTGTTTGAAGAAGAGTATTAACAAGAAGGAGGAGAAGTAGTGATGACTCTTGAAGTTCTTTCAAGTTGGTTTAGAGAAAGTATTAAGACTTTATTAATATAGAAATATGAAAACTTCTTGTAAACGTTTTTTTTATGTGTGATCAGAGGATTAGTAGAAAGGATGTATTTTTTGAGTATTGTTCATAGTATAGTTAATAGTCATATATAGTTTTGAATCCAATTATTTTTTTTTTAAAGGAATTAATAGAGCTCAGTTTATTGAAGTCGATAAAATAGCAATACATTTAGTCTAATTAATAATTACAGAACAATTCTATAATTAATTTTATACTAAAGCTATAGTAAATTTAACTATTTTACCATTATATTTATATTTAATTGTGGTACCTTATGAATCTTGTGATTTATTACTAAATAAAGTCCTAATACCTACTATCTATATTTATATTATTCTTCCATATCCCTTATTTTTATAAATCCTAGATTTATAATATAGGATCTCTTTTATATCTTATTTTATTGAATATTCTTTTTATAGTACTTATTACAGTATATCTACAGAATACTTATGTGAAATCTTAGATATCATTTTATTCTATTGAAATATTCTTTTTATATGACTTATTATAACTTGCTTATGGAATAACTATATAAAGTTTTGAACAAATATTGAATTTTAATAGACTCTTTTTTAACTAATGTGCCTAAGCTTCATTAGTTTTTTTATTTTATAGCATACAGATATTTAATCTATTTATAGGAGCTTAAAAGAACCTGTCTTGTAACAAAATAACTTAATCACTAAAATCAATTAAAGTATCATATAATCTTTAGATGCTTAGTGATTAGATAGGATTTTGATCAGAGGTAATTAGATTATAATTATAGGATAGATGAAATAATTTTATATTATTTGGATTTAGATAATATTGCCTCACAGTAATATTGAACTTGAAAACAATACTTGATGATCTGAAAGCATTACACTATACTATTGATTAATAGGTTACTATTTTTTTTTTATACAAGTTTTATTTTATATTTATTTAATATTTTTAATATTTTATTTAATATAATTTTAATTAAAAAATAATAATAATAAAATAAGGAATATAAAATTTTTAGAATAATTTTATAATTATAATTTCAAAATTATAGTTTTGAATTATTATCTTTAAAGATATAATTTTGAACTCTAAAAATTTTGAATTCACTTTCAAAAATAATTATTCAAATATATAAAAAATAAAATGTTTTTTAATTATTTTTGCAAAAATTTTATGTTTCTAAAATTCAAAATTAAATTAAAATAAATAAAATCTCTTAAATAATTAATTTTTAATTTTTTTTTTAGTTCATTAAATATCATTTAATTATCAATGGCTTAAATTTTTATTAAAAAATATAAATAGACAAAAAAAGTATTAATTAAATTTTAAGATATTTTAAAATTGGTTTAAAAATAAATAAATATTTTATTAATAATAGAAATCAAAAAAATTTTTCAAATATTTTTTATATATAAGTAAAATATAATTTTTTTTTTAATTATAATTCTCTGTTAAGTTAGTTATGTATGCTTTATTAAACTTTTGTAAACTATATATATAATAATATATAGTGCTAAAGTTCTAACTAACTTATTTGTCTTAATATAATTAACTTTAAATATAATTTCAAAAATACTATATTACTTCATTAATAGTTTAGATGAAAACCCTTCTAGCTATCAATATTATTGTTTTCAGGTTATTACTATAAATAATTATAATATAATTGTTTTTTAAAATTTATTAATACAACATAATGAAAATTTTTACCAGAATTCTTATTCTTTAAATTTTATTCTTATATAATTAAAATAATATTATTAAAATTCATGATATTTTGAATTGTCAACTATGAATTTTATTATCGTCTGAATTGTCGTAAAAAGGAAGCGGGTTTCAAATGGTTTCATTATTATCTTAAACTTCACACTAACTTAATTTGCATTAAAACTAAATGCGTTATCATCGCATATAATTATTTGACAGATGCACTGATAATGAATTCATCATACATAAAAGTTCCGTTCGTTTAATCGAATATTAAAAAAGTTTCTAATAATAAACGCATGTTTCTTTTCAGGTTATAAACCTACAATGCAAGAATTCCGCAGAATCAGTTAAGATCTGCATGCGAGTATTTCAGGCCAAAAAAAAAATGTCTTCCCTACTAGCCCGTGTTTTATTTCATGGGACAAAGCGGAATCCATCCATCCTAAACTCCATACGAAATGCTCGTTTTCCCCATCGACATTTCGCTTCGGAATCAAACACGGGCAAACAGAATCTCATAGAAAAGATTGTCCAGAAATATGCTTTGGATTTATCTCCGGGTCAAAAAGTAAAGAGCGGAGATTTCGTAACCATTCAACCAGAACATGTGATGACTCACGATAACACTGCTGTGGTCATGTCAAAGTAAGTCGACGTTGGATTTCTCGATCTCGTTACATCGAACTTTGCACATTATAATTACCATCTTTAAATCTCAGGTTTAAAAACATTGGCGCAAAATCAATTAAGTTCCCGAGGCAACTCGTATTTACTCTTGATCATAATGTGCAGGATAAATCCGAAAAGGTAGGTTGAATTTGAATTCAATATAACGTACTTAACTGAAAAACCAACTAAAACTCTAAATCAAAAAACATAAATTGTAAATGGTATTTCCTTCTTAAAGAACTTGACGAAGTATGCAACAATAGAAAAATTTGCCGAAGCTAATAATGTGGATTTTTATCCGGCCGGCCGGGGAATCGGTCATCAAATAGTAGTCGAAGAAGGTTACGCGTTTCCTTACACCATGACCGTGGCCTCGGATTCTCACTCTAACATGTATGGTGGAATAGGCTGCTTGGGAACACCTATAGTTAGAACCGATGCGGCGGCCATCTGGGCCACTGGAAAAACGTGGTGGCAGATTCCGCCTGTCGTAAAAGTAGAGTTCAAAGGACAACTTCCGGATGGTGTCACCGGAAAGGATGTTATAATCACTTTATGCGGAATGTTCAACAAAGATGAAGTGTTGAATTGTGCGATCGAATTTGTGGGGGAACAAAGTATCCGTGGAATCAGTATTGAGGATCGTCTGGCCATATCTAACATGACAACAGAGTGGGGCGCATTAGTCGGAATGTTTCCGGTGGATGATGTAACAATAAGATGGCTCAGAAATAGGGTTAGAAAGTTGGAACTTACGAGATTTGAAAATAAGAATTTAAAGGCCATCGCAGATAATGAACCATTTATTCATCCTCGGATCAATCATTCAAGAATTGATGAAATTGAAAGAAATCCTTTAAGGCCATCTCCCGATTCATATTATTCAAAACATCTGACATTAGATCTGTCAACTGTGTCGCCATATGCATCGGGTCCTAACTCGGTAAAAGTTTCAACATCCCTTGCTGAGCTTGAAAAAAAAGATATTGCCATACAAAAGGCATACCTTGTCTCGTGTGTTAATTCTCGTGCAGCCGATTTAAAGGCCGCAGCGGAGGTTATCAAGGGTCGAAGAGTGGCAGATGGCGTTGAATTTTATATCGCAGCGGCTAGCAGCGAAGTACAGAATGATGCAGAGAAAAGTGGTGACTGGCAAACCCTCATTGACGCCGGCGCAAAAGTATTGCCTCCTGGTTGTGGACCATGCATTGGTGAGTTTTTCATTAGTCATCTTTGATGTGTCCATCTGATTTGACGGATCATTCATTATTTATAGGTCTTGGTGCCGGCCTCTTGAAGGATGGGGAAGTTGGTATTTCGGCGACTAACCGAAATTTTAAGGGTCGCATGGGTTCCCCGAACGCCTTAGCATATCTTGCTTCGCCTGGTAAATTGAAAAATCGGCGTTCCAACGTCGTCGAAGGCGTGATGGTGATAACGTTATAATTATTCATCTTTTAAATTTAAAATTTCTAGCTGTAGTCGCTGCTTCCGCCGTAGCCGGAAAGGTGGCCAGTCCGGCATATCTATCAACCTCGGTTTCGGTCCATGCAAGAACGCAAACACCGAAAATATCATACGTCTTGAACCCGAACGCGCAGTTCACCGCGAGTCCATCATCAGCCAGCGTTGAAAAGGTCATACCCGGATTCCCGGAAACAATAAAAGGCCAATTATTATATTGTCATGCTGACAATTTAAATACCGACGGGATTTATCCCGGTAAGTATACCTACGTGGATGAATTACGGCCCGAGGATATGGCCAAAGTTGTCATGGAAAATTACGATCCTAAATTCGCAAAGATGGTTATAAAGGTATCATTCGACTCTTACTCCTACCTCCTTATGCCGCTTGTCTTACACGAACCTTCATAATTTTTTAATAGGGTGATGTCTTGGTTGGCGGTTTTAATTTCGGATCTGGATCGTCACGGGAACAGGCTGCCGTTGCGTTGAAAGCCAGTGGCATAACATTAGTCCTTGCCGGGTCTTTTTCTGAGACATTTAAGCGCAATAGCATCAACAACGCGTTACTCTGTCTGGAAGCACCCGATCTTTTACACTTGTTAAGAGATATTTACAAGTCCGACGATTTAACCACTCGCACGAACTTGAATGCCGAAATAAAAGTGGCCGAAGGCAAAATGATAATAAGAGGTTTGAATGAATCAGAACGAGTATTTAACTTGAGCGTGTTGGGTAAAAGCGTGCAAGAATTATGGGTGGCTGGTGGATTAGAAAATTGGGTGCGTCAAAGAATTTGAAGCTTTGGATTTTTTCAAGGAAAACATTCTTCCAATGGGGTGCACGTGCTAATGTGCTTGTTTTATTATTCCATGCATGTTCTCTTTACTTTACAATTTTTCACGTAACTCTTAACAATTTCCGAATCTAATTCATAATAATGAGGAATATTTGAAATATATTTCGGATCTAGATCTATGACGTAAATTTTATAATCAAGCAAAACTTCGTGAGTGCCATTTTGGTCACATGAAGCTTTTAAATTCTTTGTGTGATTACTAATTTCAATGTTTTTATTGGAACCTTTGGAACAAATATTCTTCGTCGACTGAGCCGGAAAAGCAATTGAGAGATCCTTAGAGATTTCGGGAGAGAATAATGCGCTGCAGAAGAATAAAGATGTCAGATAATCTTCGTGAAACTGTCTTTGAAATTAAGAAATAAAATTACCCCGATAGATCGGTGACCTCGTCTTTGGCCTTTTTTTTAAATGTCAAAATTATGGAACAATCTTTCAACGTCGTCGAAATTAAAAATTCATAAATCCGTTGACGTATTTGAGCGCTATCGACATTTTCGACGGAAGCTACCAATAAATAAATAGAAAAAAGGCGATGCACCCGTCAACATCACATCCAAATATGACCGATTCACCGAGATTTTTCATAACACTTCCTAGCAGAGCATATACCAACCTTTTGGATCTTTGATTCGTCTCTTATAACCATCCACCACCACCTTCCATTCTTCTATCGTGGGGTCCGAAAGTTCCGATTGTTGAGCCATGTAGTACTTGTAGACGCCCTCGATATCTAGCTCGTCGAGAGATTTTTGAAGGTACCTTAAACGACTAAACAAAATTTTTTCTGCGTGAATCGTGGTCGATAACAACGTGAACAGCATATCTAAGATCACTTTGTTACAACTGGAGGATTCCGGGAAAAAAAAAAAAAAATTAAAGTTGAATAAATTATGAAGTTTCGTTTTTCAATATATATATATTTTTTAAATGTGCACATATATACTTTTGAAGTTTTTCCCGGTCGCTGGAAAAATCGAGACCAAAAAAGGTGCACAATTGCTTCTGCCAACCTTCCTTCGAGCAATGAGTCAATAGGCAATTTAACAAAGACGGTGGAATAAATTCTTTCACAAACCTTTTCTATTTGTAACTGTTCGCCTTGCATAAATAATTTCAAGACGTTACTTGGAACTTTAAATAATTCGTCGATTGACCTTCTCAATCTCTCATCCACTAGCGAAAAAAAATCCAATGGACAATATCCCGTTACAACGGACGGGTCTTTATCAATTTTATTTAAACGTTTGTAATGTTGGTGCATGCAAAATCGGCAGGTTCGAAGTTTTTGAGTGTTTTCAGGAGAGATGTGCGGCGATGTCGGTAAGAATATCCATTTCGGCTAATTTTGACAAGGGCGTATTAATGACAGGGGAAGATCAACGGCATCATTATAAATGAAACGAAATGTACTTTTAATTCTATGGAAAGCGAAGGATTGGAACTCGAAGAAAATCTTGTATGATCGGAAGTCAGAATGGCATAACGTTGGGTGAAATCGATATTTTTGCGGAGGCGTTTGGTGGAACGCAACGAATGAATGGAATCCGCTATCTCCTTTAGAAACTTTGGCTGAACTTCCACCAATAGCTAATGGAGGAAAACGATTGCTATAATCAAATGGAAATTTTGGGGGACATGGAGTCAGAAATTATTGATGTGGTTACCGACCGATTCACCAACATACTCGCCGAGGAGTGGTTTAATCACATCGGTGGCATATAAGCTTGCAAAAAGCTGAGTGCTTTTGGCCTCCTTCTCAACATCGTCGTTGGCATCCTTATCTTTGACGACTTCAGTATGGTTGCAAACTGATTTTCGCAACCGAAGGACTGTTCTCAACTTTGTTTGGCACATGGAAATCGCATAGACATCAAACTTTATTATTTTCATCATTTTAGGAAATCGAATGAGATAGGAGAGGAAATACAAACAAATTTCTCATCTTCACCAACATAAGCCAAAATTATGTTGGCATTGCCCTCGGCCTTGAATTTCCATTGCGACACGGAACATAGTTCAGGAATCGATATGATCCGCGACATTATGGATGAATAAGAAAAGAAAGGATGTGAAGAGCAAAATGCTGAGATGAAAAAGAAGACTAATAAATAGGATTGTACGATCGTCAAAAACTGTCCAATCGTCGGCAAGTCTTGGCAGCCTCGTTTCTTCTTATTCCCGAATATTTATGGAAGTCGTTGAACATTGTTAAGTAAGAATGTGTAAAAAAAGTGTTGATCAATTTGGTTATCCCTTAAAAAGAAACGAATTAGTCATCAAAAATTAATTTTATTATCTATTTTGATTGTTGCAGTTCAACACGTTCAAGTTCCCGAGAACCACGCAGGATAGTTCAGTAATTACCCCCGCGATAAATAACACGAGATCATGCGACCGAGATTTTGCTAACTTCTAGATGCCATGGCTATGATCAAACCTTCATCACGGAAGTTCAACGAACTGCACAGTCTCGAGATCATCGTTAAGATTTAGTTCTCGAAAGAACTCGAATGGCACCGTCAGGGTACTACTATGCGCACTTTTTTTGATTGTAAAACCAGGATGCAAATTTTATCGGAAAAAAAAAAAAAAAAGAAAGAAAGATTAAGAAATCTCGGAACATAAATATTAAAAAAATTTTTTCTGATTCGAGATGATGATTAATAATGAATGATAAATGATAACAATGCAACAAAGGGTATGTATGATACATGAAGAGTCAAAAAAGATAGTAATTATAATATGGACTTCAATGAAACTAGTAGGCGACGATTGATTTATGTGTAACATTTATATTATGTCAAGACGACCATGGAAAAGCTCTCCGCAACTCTTCGATCGAGGTCATCGATTTCAGAGAATCTGGGTCATCTCTGTAAGGCACATTTGGTTGATTCACGACCATTCCTTGCACCTTTACGCCACTAATCCTTACACCTGCGCCAACTCGAACTGAATCTGAACCACTCGAAGCTCCTAAGGCGGCGAGACCTCTCGTTTTCTTAATTGATGGATATTTTGGCGGTGTTGATGGTGGAGCGGGTGAACTCACCGGCGTCTCTATGGAATCCGTCATCGATGACGACATTGATTCAGCTCTACTTTCTATCGCGTTACTGGTTCGATTTTCAGGTTCCTCGTATCCTTCAAATATGAGATCATAATGTTCTATAGCAAGTTTCATCAATATTCCGACACCTCCGCCGTTCACATCGCCACGGTTTAGAGAACACATGCTAACATCTATCAACGGGTTGCCACTGTGCACAAGATTTGGAGCGAACATAATTGCAAGGTTGTGTGGTGTCATTAGATTTTTGTCCTTATGTTTCGAAATATCCACGAGAAGTTCGCACACATATCGAAGCAGAAGAATCGTTGCATGCGATAATTGCGGAAAAACATTGCTGCGTATGAACTCAATCCTTCCCAGAGGATGCGGTTTATGCTGGATTTGCTTAAGGGCGTCATAGGTTCCCGCTGGGAAAACGGCAACCGGTTGGTTGTTAAAAAACATTTTAAGCAGAACAGCCGCGACGTGGACTCCGTAGTCATGCAGATTGATCGGATTCCCTGTTATAAGGAAAGTAAGCTTATAAATATGGTTTAGATGGCATCTTTTATTCAATAAGAACCAACCTCTATCGTAAGCATCTTTCGCCTGCCTCAACAAAACCGAACTGGGTGACCTGCGAAATATACCCTCAGTGTCCAAACCTAAATACGTAGGCAATCATATAATCATCAAATTAACAATTCCACGTTCAATCAATCTGACGGATGCCATATACCTTCAGATCGTAGAAACGTTACACAATCCTTGACCACCTTCGGTAAACCATGTTCTCCTTCGGAGCCCATAAGCTCATCGATCGGGACACCAAACATTAAAGGTCCGTCATCGCCAAAATCCAGTGATTGCGGTAATGTAATTCTATCCTCATACCTTAAATTATATCTACATGCGCATAGAAACACGTTAGATGACGCAATGGTCACATGGTAAATGCAAAATCTTACTCATAAACGGCCGGCGGTATGTCGATTTGCGTGATTGGAACAAACTCAGCCAACGCCGAAAGGGTGTGCACATATTTGACTTTTTTGGCAAATTTCGGACTGTAGAGGCGTGCGAAAGGGTTACCGTGAATTCAATGGCCAGGTTGAAATGATCTCCAAGATACTCCTACCTTATCACTGCATTCATGAAATCAAAATATAAGCGAACCCAAGAGGACGGTTGGACTATATAGAAGGACTTGAGGTTTTTCTTATACCTTTAAAACAAACGAGATTTTATGTCAAAATTCCATCATAAAATAATTTTTTACATCCTTTTTACACACTTTCTACTCAGGCTTTTGTACGCTCGAAACATCCAGGACCATCCCGGATTATGTTTCGCGCCTCCCAAAAATAGGACAACAGTATAATCACTTTCGACAAACAAATCAAGCTTAAGTAGAATTCGTCTGGAATTACACACATAATGGGGAATGTCAGAAGTTTGCGCATAATGGAGAAAATAAAAGAAAAGGAATTCAGGCGATAGACGTACGCCAAAATTTTATCATAATCGACATTCGAGGGATTTGGCAAATTACACGCGCAAACCACTACCATTGGTTTGCTTTCAAAGTCAACGCCTACAGTTTCAGGAGAAAAAAAAAAAAAAACAAAAAAGGAAAGATATCGGGTCATTATTATCGAAATATTTTACTGGAAATAGGGGTTGGGTGTCATGTTTTCAAAGTAATAAAACTTGTTCTCTCTCTCACCAGCTTGATAAATAACTTTGGAGTAGACATATTCGGCTAAAGCCTCTTCGTCAACGGAGGTCCTTGAAACATGTTGAGAAGACGACGACCCAAAGAACCAACGTTTCCACATTTCTTTTTATCGGCTACCACTTGAGGTTTATAATGACCTTCCTTTATGCTGCCTGGTAAATTTTTTCAAAGAATGGAGGATACCTCAAAGTTGGAATCGATATGGTCATATAGTCATCAATTTTAAGAGATTTCATTAAAAATTCTCTCGCCATCTTTTTCAATTAATGTGTGTGACACAAATTACACAAATCATCATACAATACCCTTATTGTAAAAACGATGCCAACCTGCTAAGCCATTCGTATTAAAAAGGAATACGTAATATACATTTACTTAACCTGTTCAGGTGATGTAAACCGATCTAAATTCGTTCTCCACGCATAGGAAGCTTAGTATAAATACGTCGTTAGTACGTACGGTTGAGCGCGGGTCTTCCCCTCAGTTTTTTTTAATTCTTTTTTCTAGATAAACCTATTGATATTGTTTTTTAAAATCACAATATGTCAAATAAAATTAGTGCGAGTTATATGAGCGCGGAGCGCGCTTCTCAGGATGTAGAACGAAAAGAAGTTCAGGAGTCAATTTTCATAGGAGCGGCTACGACAGGAAGAATGACCTTGATCGAAAAGAGTTATGATAAAAGGATTATTATATTATTAATCATTTCGCCAGTTTGGACTCTCTTGTTTACAGCCGTGCCTGTGGTTATTACTTTCCATGGTATCGCTGCCGATATTTATCGTAGGTTTTCCGTCCTAATCATTCCTTTAAACCATAGTCAATTCAATTTATCTATTCATCCATTTTCTATAGGGTTTGCTGAACCGGTGGTTTCGCTACCCATAAGTTATTTTATTCTGACATCGGCCGAAGTATTCACAGATCAAAATCATGAAGAGGCACTTGTCTGTAAGCAGATTCGCATCCCTTTCGAAATAAAATAAGCGAATTTGGTTGCGAAGGTTTCAACAATTTTTTTCTTGATTAAACCATAGTCAAAAACCTATCGGAACGATCATTCCTGAATATTTGGTTTTTGATTGGCGCCGCGCTTTATGCACAAGGTACAATCCGCCACTAACTCGTTTTATTATAATACTCTTTCCTGTTTCAATGTTTCTATCGAGCACTTACTTAAAGATTCGTGTTTTTTTTTTTTTTTTTTTTTTTTTTTTTTACAGGCGCTGCAATGCATGCCACTGCGATCATTGCAAAGCATAACATTGAAAATTTAATCACCACGTATCCCAACATTACAACTCAATACCCCGCAGTAAATGATTCTTATGTTTATTTTCAGGAAACCCTCGAACATACGGTAATATATTTTTTTTCTTGTCTTCTACGAGTTCGTCTAAAATCTGATCTAATTATCATCAACATTTAAGATCGGTCACTACTTATATGCCTTCGGTGCGGTACTTATCACATGGGCTCAATTGTTTGCTTACCGTCACCAGCGTCACTACAACCTTCATTCGAAAGTATCGTTATTCGGCTGGATTCTCGGTGGAATCTTATACTCTTTTCTCCTAGCTGGAGTGGCGATCGAATTTCCCAAAGGCACAATAGTTGGTCTGGCTTACGTATTAGTGGTCGGTGTTCCCCTCGCACTTTATTTGCTAAAAGACAAGTCACTCTTTTCGAGAGGAAAAAGGTTGGTGTTACAGTCTTACCTGCTAGGTTACGTGGTGGCGTTTGTAATTATTGTAATTTGGATCATCATTGTGGGTGGATTTAAAGATCGTAAGAGCACCGGGTTATTCGCAAAAGGGTAACTAAAAGTGACTTCGAATCAATTGAAAAGCCACGGTCATTCATGCACTTGATATGAAAATTAGCAAAACTTGTAGAAACCTTGCTTCCAAGAATAAACAGGAAAATGACAACCTGCGCGATGAAAATAAAAAAACGGATCGATAAGCATCTAACGGTGGCATTTTCCTATGATCTTCAAAGGCCGGTTTTTTGTTGAAAATAATGATTAGATAATCGATACGTTACATATGCATCGTATATGCGGCATAAATTCATTTTTACAAAAAAAACTTGATATAATTCAATTTATAATATATTATATAATTTTGTAAATCAAATTATAATTGCTGGTTTGATTTGTAGTTAAGATTTAAAATTTTTTGGAATAAAAAAATAGAATAGAATAGAAAACGGAAATTTCAAAAAATACTACATTTGAAAATTAACTGCTATCTTATAATTCACATGAAAAGGTAGCAAGTTCACGGGTCGCCTTTATTTTTATAGTAATTAGATAACTATTTTTCCTATCGTTTTCTTATCTTCAATCTGATACCCACTTATAATATCTATCGTATGCATACACATTTTATAACTTGATTTTTTAAATGGTTAAAACTTCGTTTATGCACAATATGTTGCATTGTCGTCTTGATATACTGCATGCTGTACGGTGTATCCGATTTTAATCGCGAATGCACACCAAGAAGGAATCATTTTAAAATGAAAAGGTCAATTACGATACATAGGTATAATATTCATTGTATGGTTAATTATACAGTACAGTACACCAGTTGGCAATTCACGAAAAGATTTCATTTATTACTTTATTAAGTACGGCATGTGATCTCGGTAAACTGCAGAACGTTGTATCCTCAACCTCACCCCACAATATAACCAACCAAGGAATCATAGTACTTGCATACAATTCCTCCCAATTTATCCGAGGCTCACTTTCCCTCGTCATCAGAATTATTCTTTGCAGCCTCAAAAGTACCTTCGAAATCAACCGTGAATTTCGAATTCTTCGTCTATGACCTCTTTCAATTTTTTCCTTGATCGTGCCGGTAACACCAAGTCGGTCGAACCTTGATATACAATTCACCGTCAAACAATTTCGGTTTCGTGATAGTCTTCGAATTTGGTGTCGAGTACAAAATGAAAGGCCCTTGAATTGGATAGATTCATAAATTCCTGACGAATTAAGTCATCGTTCTTGGCATAGTTTTCGATGCTTCCCAATCTGCCATATCATTCATTCTTGATCCTCATCAGCCTTAACCGCAAGAGAATAGGTGTCATCGGAGTCAACTTTGAAATCAACAATTCGTGCTCAAAACTCTCTCGAGTCGTTTCTTTAGTTGAGGAATTTTTGCTTCCCATCAGAGGGTGGGCATCAATTAAATTGATGAATTCGTGCCCAAGGTCGTGCGTTTAACTTCGATGTCATTGTAACTTTCGATTTCTTCGTTAAACACCCGATAAATCTTTTTCGATAAAGCTGTAGGGTGAAATTCCGATCTAACCAAATCGTCCTCTTTTTGGTATAACTTTTAATAGATTAACAAACGAATCGAATTAGGCGAAGATGATTTCTCCCAATCTATCAGTATACCAACTAATATTTTATTCATTGGTGGCGGTGACTTCGGCATGGGGTTCTTCAAAATTAACGGTGAACTCGTAATCCCCTCCGGTGGTCTGCTTCCGAGTTTTCAAGACTGCAGGTATACGTTGCTCCCATTCGTCTTTTCGGTTTTCACAGGCTAGATTTCATCCGTGGATTTCAGAGAGCCAACCGAATTGTAACCGACGCCACCGATGTTCACTCCGAAATGGGTGAGCTTGATTTTGATAGAAGTTACACCATCCGAAACGCTTGTTTCGTTAGAATTTGACTGCATTTCGTCATCGTGAAGCCAACGAATTAGTCTAGCCGGTCGGATTGATGAAATCGGAGTCGTCATTCTCCGTATATTGGTACCAGATTTGAGGTCAACCAATCGGTATCGTCGGGAGTTGCCTTGACGGCGTCGTTATAAATTGCGCTGAAATCTACATCAAATCCATAATCGAATCCAGCGGTGGAGTTTAGTCTTCTTTAGTTCGGGAATTTTATTGGTAAACTCATCGCGAATGTACTTGTGGGATGCAGGTGAGAGACCAGTGTGTGGTGTACATTATATTGTAAGTGGAGAGCGATCAATTTTTTCTACGGCAAAACTTTTTATGCACGATCCACTTTATCTACAGTATTCACTACGCCAAAGAAACATCATCATTATGACTATTATTTTTTATACAGTAAATTACTCATGAAATCGTTGATTTCGCGATATTAAACGAGACTACCAAAAGCTGCGAATCAAATAAATCGAACAAAAATTGTGATCAAATGGCCTAGTACAAATAGTACAAATAGTACAAATGGTTCGAATTTTTCGATCGTGTAAATTCCGCAGGAGCTTGTAATCTGTGGTCAATAATCATGTGATGAACGCCAAAGAAATGACGATAGCGACCTGCGGATGAGTTCTCTTAAACAGTGTTAACTTTACAGAATACTGTGTATTTATTTTGATAAAAAAAAATTTATTTTTTTTTTTTTTGGCAAGAAAAAAAAAATATATATATATATGTATATAATGATAGTAAAAACAATGGATGATATCAAAGTGATTCATGTAACAGGTGAAGAAGGTAACCTGGATTCCACAAAGTTTCTCATAATTCTTTTTTATCACTCATATATGAGACCCTTGAATATCCGCAGATCGGCAAAAGTGCAAAGATATAAGATTTGAGGTATTCGTGAATGAGCAGAATTGTTCGGCGGAAAACGAGGTCGATGAGTAAGAGTGTTTTCAAAAATTAATGATTGATTCTTCGTAGAGAACCACGAGTGCATCTCATTCAAGAATACATCATTATTCACGATGAATCTTTCAAGGTACGATACGTTTCCGGCATGTCATCACCTGCTGGCCATCAAGTCTTCCTCCCTTCCAGTCGGCACGGTTCGGATCCATCCTTATTGCGATCCTTCTTTGAATTCCAATCCTTCTGACCTTTTCTCCCCCGATCCAACTTCCCCCGTAAAAATGGCAAAGATAGGCCGCCTATCAGTTTCCAAGCCTTATCGAAACCAGGGCATCGGTACATTGCTTCTTCAATCTGCAGAATCTTTTGCAGCGTCTGACATGGGAATTACACAGTGCATTCTCCATGGTCAACTGGATAAAAAAGAATGGTACGAGAAAAGGGGATACCGGGTGTTGAGCGATCACGTGTTTATCGAGGAGGGAATGGAACATCTGAAGTTGGGCAAGATTATTTAATCTCATGATAATAAACGTGTTGAGAAGTTTGCTCTTTCCTCTATGAAAAAAAATTGCGACAACAGTTTCCGCCACACCATCACTCTTTCGACTGATGCGCGTGCACTATTATTCAAGTCTTTTCACTCACAACTTGCATCGAAGAATGTTTGATGACGAGCTTAAAGTTTACTTTAGATTATCAGTTGTAATTTCTATCGTTTATTTTCCTATGTTTTATGTAATAAAATTTATGAATAAACCGAGGATTGTTTAGATTGTCTTTTCGTAAAAATCGACACTAATAATTACAATATATTTTTTATCCGTCCATAGGTGAAAAACCCTAATTGAAGTATTGGGGTTCGTCAAATACATGATATCTATGACCGCGAACACCTTCGCCCCTGAATATCGGTGTGAATCGTAACTCTGGAATTACTTCGTTCTCTTGGATGCGATTATCAACGGCCTTCCAATTTGAACGATCATATCCATCCAAAACTTGGAATTTTCCCACTTGTAACTCGGTGTCCGTTATTCTGCCATGGCTAACACGTGCGTACCCAACCTTCTTAATCCCACGGTATGCGATATACTCGCACCACCTATCATAATCTGTCTTGTCTATATCATTGACATTGCCATCATCCATCAGTATGAAATAATTCCCTTCAAACGGTTTGGTCACCACATATCCCAAAAATACAAATGGATTCTGACTCTCTCGCATTATTCGTGCGAGTTCCGTGGTTTGCAACTTTCGATCTTCCACGTCCTCCTCTTGTCCATTGTGACTAACAATAAAATCAACTTCTTTGCCGTAAACGTCAAGCGTAGCATGGATGGCGCACGCGAGTTCGCCCTTCGGTGATGGCAGGAGGTGATGAGTGGATTTGATTATCGGGAACTTTGAGAGCATTGCGCATCCCCAAGTATGTTTTGACGGACCGGGGCCATAATCGGCATACATGTTGAGATCCTCCGCCAAAAATTGCGTAAGATCTCGATTGCCCATTATTATGCGCCCGGTGTCGGACTCCAGAAGACCTTTAGGTGAAAGAGAGGGTTGAGTTTCCGATCATAATTTTATCGCTCCCGTCACCAGTCAATTAATTAGCTTACCGACAACGTCCAACTCCATGTCCCTTATTAGGTCCCTCATTCTGACTTCGCTAGCCCACATGTCGTTATCTAATCCGAAATGTATCGTCCATATACCTGCCGTAATTAATTTTTGCTCGGGATGATATGGCACAGGTGGACCGGACGAAGCACGTGAAAATGCGACAATGATCGTCACCAAAATCATTATTCCCAATCCACCTCTGGTCAAGGATCGATTGTGATGCGAATTATTCATTTGTGCAAATTTTGACGAGTTAACGGATGCTTCCCGGACTCCAAGTCCAATTAAAATCATCATTGCGAACAGCACGTAATCCGTATGTTCCCTCATGTACTCGCCAGCGGGAACAAAGGCGTAAGCAACGATCCATACATGAGCCAAACAAAGCACATTATATATCATCATGGCCGTAAAAAGTGTTCTCCCCGGAGGATGCTGAGAGACACCTCGAATAAATGACGGTATCAAAGACATTATGTAAACACCGAGCAGTAGTCCTCCGTAGTATCCCTTCCACGTGGAATAATAATACAGGCACGTGCAGGACACACATCCGATAACATACCAATGAATGCCGACAACGATTTTACGATATGACGAGAGGACCAATCCCAATGACATTGCCATAATGGTTAAAATACCACCCCATGGTACGGGAAGAGGTCCGGTGTTGGGATATCCTTCGTATACCCAGCGAGTGAGTGTGGTAGTATCCGAGAGCAAAGAATGAAGGGCAAACATGAGGGATCCCAATCCTGCAGCTGCAGAAGCCCATGATCCCGAGACTTTCCGCCTTTGCTCGGTAGATTTGGATTTGCCTTTTCCATCACGGAGCATAACTAACAACGATGCCAAAATTCCTAATGCGAGTCCCACACCATTTCGTCCACCATTTGCTCCGTGCATTATTGGCCATATAGGATTATTTGTCCACCAAGCCATTTTGACAACGTTGCTCGCTATCAATCCCACCCCCCAAATAAGAGCATTGCGTTCCAATCGGACCATGTTGTTACGATTTTCTGTCCACGCAGATGTCCAAGTCAAATTTGCAATCGCCACCCCCACAGAAACTAGGATGAGACGAGTGACCGGATCAACAAACATGTATGACGCCAATCCCACGAGCGAAAATAGATGGAATAGTCCAGGGTAAGATCTGACTGTTCGTCGCACCGAGTTAATACCGAGTAATACTGGCGAGGAGGTCACAAGTAAAAAGGCTTCATACCCGGATATGCCCATATACCAGAGTGGGAAGTACCAAATTGTCAGGGCGAGCGATGTTAACATTGACCAATAGACAAAAGCTAAGGCGGACAAGCGAGTCAAATTTATATTAGGAAGATGGGTTTGCGAGGTATTTTGACCATGAGAATTTTATGGCTACCTAAATAAGTGTCTGTCGCATATTCCATTATATTATTCCAATAACCGATATCAGAACTTAGAAAAAGATCCTTCAAGTATTGATGATAAGGTGTGATGGTGGATGCATTAACAGTGGAATTTTTTGCGCCAGGAAATCCGGAAATTGAATCCTTGTCGCTTGATGAAATTTCAATTGAATACAATAAAAAATCACTGAAAATAGAATATTAACAAGATACAAATATCTGTGTTCGTACCTTGACCCACGCCCGGCACTGATGACACGCAATTCTATGAAACTTAAATCATGAAAGCTGATTGCGTCAAATGCAACGTCATAAAAGATCAAGGACCATTCGAAAAACGCGTAAATAGTGTAAGCTAGGGATATTGAATGTCACAAATATGTGATATTACTATGATGATTGAATAAAACGTTAAAAGGAAAATGGAAGGCGGATTTGTTACCTCCAGCTACATGATGGACTTTGTGTTGAATGAAATAATAGATCATCGGCACGAGGGTACCAAAAAATAGACAAAATATTGATTTTCTCCATCGAACAGCGTTTTTATCATCTAACCCGATCTTCAATGTTCCAATCATCCATGGCAAGGTGGTAACCAGGTACACTATCATAGCTACGTCATGCACAAAATGATCATCTGACGAGGTAATGTACACCCAACAACCGCACGAAACCGTGCGTATCACTCCGATAATGGCATGCAGTTTGGGATAGAGGTGACCGGGTTTATCGGTAAGGAGGTAGAAAAAAAATATCATCGTGAAACGAGGTCCTGCGGATTTCAAACTTTGGTTAGACAACGAGATCGCAGTGCGATAATGATTCAAAATTTTTCTACCTGACGTGATCGCGACAAAGATTTGGAAGACTGAACGAGCAGGGTGGTAATCACCGATGGTAGCACTGACACTGGGAAACCATTCCTACACATATTTCAGGGAACAAGGAAATTTAATGATCGGAAATTCGAATCTCAATGAGCGATTGCACTGAATTGCCTGCCGAACCTCAGGATATCCCCAAAACTCATTCTTTACGATCTGCCTGTAATGAGTCAGGCATCCGATAATGAGTGCGGAGATGAACGCAGCTGCATTGATTAAACAAATATTCCATGTGAGCGAAATATGAAGTTTAGATTAATCCCTAAAAAAAAAAAAAAAAAAAAGATCTTTTTCACCATATGCAAATATCGTATGTGAATGAGTAACGAATTTGCCGTTGATCTGTGACGTTTTCAAAGACCAATGTGAATCGAAATTAGCAGAAGAGCAATCGATTATAGGAATCGATTATAGGGAGATGATGCCATTTTTTTTTGTCGGATTACTCACCCTCGCAAATATAACGCCGTCAGGAGCGTCCTCCTTTGAATCCGTCATTTTTCTTTGGAAAGAATGTTAATTAGTTAAAGCCCAACAAAATTTTGCTTTTATAAGGAACCATGAAACTCCAAGTGTAACACATTGCCAGATCGGGTTGATCTTGCAATATGCAGGACTCGATAGGCAAAATTAAAGTATTTATGAATAAAATCGATTTCTGAAGTGTACACGAATAAAAACTCGATTATAAATATACCGGTTTTAACTATATAATTTTTTTAATGTAACTTTAAATAGCTTGAGATTGCAGTTTTTCATTAAAAGGCCGAACCGCCTAAATCTTTTTTAACGGTTATATTCATCTCACGTATATTACGCTATTCCCATATTAAACTCGTGCGTTACATTTTTAATGACAAAAAAAGACAGTAAAATAATATTGGTTTGATAGAATTTTGAACTATTTATATTATATACAGTATATTCTTTTTTTAATCAGATTCATCAAATTTTTTATTTTTTATTTTAATTTATTTTTTTTTAACCCACAATCATGCCACAATGACTTGTTTTATAGAGAAATTAAAATAAAATCTACAATAGTTTACAGATTTTCACAAAGTGACTAACTCATCTTCATATATAAATACTCTTAGTTAGATTTTGGAAACAATATTATACTCCTTTGATAGATTAATAATAACCTCTATCTACCAGGATTATTGTCAACAGTTTGTTATTGTTGATTAATCCAAAAACCAAAGAATACTAAATTAAAAAGAAGGAAAAAGAAAAATGATTGAGAGAAAAAAACAATTCAAGATTTATCAAAAAAATCCAAAAATAAAAATAACCTCTTCTTAAAAAGGATTTGCCTAATTAGAATAGTCTTTTTGCTTTACTTGAATCTTGAAAAGAATCTTCTTTTCATCAATTGCAATATCAGACAAGTCAATTTAACTGGTTTTTTATTTAAATGAGTATCAATTGGAATATCTTAAAAAAAATATTTAGACCTTAGCTTTTTTTCATTAAAACTTTGCCCTAACTTGAGAAACTTAAATAAGAGATAGGAGTTTGCAATCTACATTATCCATCACTTTATCTTTTGGGTTTTTGAAAGTAAGCATTTTTGAATCATTCTTTTCCATCATCAATAATATTATCAGAACATATGAATATGATTAATAGAAGCTTGTTTATATTCCAAAAACTAATATATTTCATGTTAATCAATTACTTTTAATGATAATTTATGCTATTTAAAATTTAGGATCAAATTGAAATAGACAAAATTTCCTAGAAAATCATAAAAGTAAAAGTCCTAAGAGAATCAAGACAGTTAAAAAGAAAAAAATAAGCCTTTTTACTATATAAACCTTTTGTTTCAAAGATTAGACAGGTTTTTAGATACTTTACAATCAATTTTTTTTTCTTTGGAAACTTTCTTTTTATTGGTATCAAAGGTATTACTCAACATTTCTTAGTCACTAGAAGTAAGTTTTTGAATGAAAAGATTTGTAAATAAAAAGAAAAGGATAGAGATAATTCTTGAAATTATATTTCAAGTTGTTTTAAAGAAAGTATTAAGACTTTATTAACAAAAAATATAAAACTTTTTACAAACATTTTTTTGTATATAGTTAAATAATTAGTATAAAAAGTTTTTTTAAATATAATCTATAGATAATAATAAATTTCTAAAATATTTAGTATATAAAATTTTATAAATTACTTACATCCCCTTTTGAGAAACAAAATTTATAACTCTTTATTTTAATAAGGATAAAATTCAAGAAATAATATAAATCAAATATTTTAATAATAAAGAAATATTTTGAATAGTTTTTTTATAGTTATTAAATTTAAAAATTTTAATATTTTCTAGTAAAAAATATTTGACTTTTGTTTTTGTTTCTTTTTTAAAAACCCATTATTATTTATAAAAACTTATTTATATTTCAAAAACTAACATATTTTATGTCAATTAATCATATTTAATAAATATTTATATTATTTAAAATTTAAAATTAAATTGAAATAAGCAAAATTTTCTAGAAAATTATAAAAGTAAAAGCTTTTAAAGAGACAAGATAGTTAAAAAGAGAAATAATAAGACTTTCTATTATACAAAATTTCTATAAATATCTTATTTAAAAGATTAAAAAGGTTTTCAAGCATTTTACAATTAATTATTTTTTTGAAAACTTTTTTATTATTAATATTAAAAGTATTACTTGACTTTTTTTAGTTAATTAAGTTTTAAGTAAAAGATGTATAAACAATAAGAAAAGAATAAGTATAACTCTTGAAGTTATACTTTAAATTGTTTTAAAAAAAGTATTAAGACTTTATTAATAAAAAAGTATAAAAATTTTTATAAATTTCTTTTTTATATATAATTAAATAATCAATAAGAAGAGTTTTTTTTTAAATATATTTAACTATTTTATAATAATAATAATATTATTATTTATTTTTTTATTTTATCAGCAAACTAAATTTTATTTTTTTATTTTTTTTTAAAATGCAATTGATATTAGATGCAAGCAATTTATTTTTTTTTGTTTTTTTTTTTTTTGTATACCCATAGCCAGGCTAGATCATCAGTTTATTAATCAAATGAAGACAAAAGTATATTTTCATTCGAGCAGCATGATA